CTCTTTCTTTCTCTCTTTCTCTGTTTCTGTCTCTTTATCTTTCTCTATCTCCCATTCTCCCCTGTCTCTCTTTATGAGCACTCCTTCCCCTACCCCTTCTCTCTCTCTTTCTCTCTCTCTCTCTATCTCTCTGCCTCTCTCTCTCGGTCTCTGTCTCTTTCTGTCATTCTCTCTGGTTCTATCCCTGTCTCTTTGTCCCATTCTGTCTCTGACTGTCAGTATATTTTGGAGTGATCAGCTTCCATCCCTGGTTATTCTTTGATGCATTCTCTGTTACTATTTGATGCGTCACTACGATTGCTCTGTGATGTCAATGCAATGCCTCTCAGTGACATTGTGAATTGATATTAGCGTCAATGATGAGGCATTTGATTTGTCATTATTTTGAAATAACTGTACTCACTTATATAATGCCTTGATGATGCACATAAGGACCTTATTGTGGCTTAATGATGAAGGAAATAAATTTCGACTTGAGTGACTCAATCTGTGACTGGCTTTTTTAAATGAGAGACACTATAATATACTCCCCTATTATACAACCTCGCATATTATATGTGATGATTTAAAAGTTGTACCAGATGGTCTCTTAACCCTTTGAGTCCTGACCACCTGAGGCTACCATGTCCCTCTGTGTGAGCTCCTGAGCGGTATATTACTAACATTCATATTATGATTGTCAGAACCACATTCCATACCCCACTCAAGATAGTTCTCGTAAATAGCCAGCATCTACATGTAATATAGAAAGATTTTCAAAATAATCGATAGCGTTCTGTGTTTTTTGTGCGCGTTTTATCCCAGAGACCCTTAATTGGAGATGGGGTCTCACTCACCAGTGTACCAGTGGAGCGGCTTATACTTACAGGCAGTTTTATGCACCACTGGCCTACCACTGGCAAGGGCTCAAAGGATTAAACGCGTACTACTCAAAATAATATAACAAAAATTAAACATAAAATAACATAGCACAAAAAGCAGAACTCTACCTCTTCTGCCCGACTCACAACCACAATAACTTCAATGTGTCATCACCGTCCAGTGCTTGTGAGTTCTTCTGTCTGTTCTGTCTGACTGCCATCTTTGTCTGCCGTCCTCGTATTTAAACAACCTTATTCAGATGTTTATTTCACCAAGATCTGGAGATCAATCGCGTCTGAGAGCACCTCGGAAAGGGAGGTATAAAACTTGTTGGGAATAGGCGCTATAGAAATTATCTGCATTATTATTATTATCCTGGGACCTTTTAGCTAGAACCCCAAATATCATTTTGCGTTTGTTTGCAGCTATCAGTCTTCTGAAATATTTCACAAGTGATTTAACCTTCTTTTAAAATACAAACGAGTAAACAGACAAAAATTACTTTTCAGGGACATCCGAGTTAGAAACAACTTAACAGAAAACAGGCAATTAGATAAAAGTATGTTTGTTTAATCACAGTCGTCTTGAGAACACAAAACAGACAATGTTCCAGGGGCCTTCAGGATCATCAACTAGTACCCAGGAGAACCAAACTGAATCTAACATTTACATGCAGTGAGTTCAAGTTTGTAAAGTCTGTGAGCTCACACAAAGTCATTGAACATTTAGAAAAAGCCTGTTTAAATCTTGACAGTATTATCACAGTTCACAAAAGGCAGAAACCTATGACATGATTTCTTGTGACTTTTTTAAAGTGTGTAAAGTGAACGGGCCACAAATAAAGCAATTTCGGGTATTATGATCTTGCCAGAGAGTTCATCTCAAAGTAAAACAATAAAGGACAAAGTCTGAGCTCCTTTCAAATTAACAGAACTACACGATCTTCAGGACTTTTTGCATGTCATCAATACTCTTAAGGAATGATGAGTTGTATTGTTATCACTTTGAGAAACAAATGGTGGATAGGATCAAGAAAAATCACTTTGGTAAAATAAAAAAATTATAATACAGGATAAATCTGAGAGTAAAATTAAAAGGATGTGCCATAGTTCACATATATAACAAAAAATAAAGCATGTCATCTATCAACAAAAGTCACTTTGGTTACACAACTGTAATGGCTGACAGGGTAGGGAGGGGAGGGAGAGGAGAGGGAGGGCATGACTGAGGCAGCCAAAAGAACTTATAGAAAGTTCGGAGGGCCTTCAGTAGGAAGGGAAGGGGGAACAAAATCTATCACTTTTACATAACTGCTACTGAGACGTCCACAAACAAAAACCAAGTTCATCGTAGAGATAGTTGAAGTGATATGTGATAGATGGCATAGCCTTCAGATGTGAGACAAAAGTGTACCCAAAGGAAGTATTATATTAGAAAGCATGAGTAGCGTGAGGCGTCTCTAGTATTACATTTTATAATATTCTATAGCTTCTCTGCCTTCAGGCTGTCCTACCGTCTCATTATGCTGCTGTACCATTATACAAATCACAGAAATATTTCCTTATCTTTTCTGGGTATAATCTGAAGTAGATTTAAGAACCTCACAACTAGCAGTTTTGATAGGAGCATTATATCGGCCTTTATAGCAAGGAGTACAGATTAAAAACCTTTGGGGGTTTTTTCAAACAATTGACTATTTTATTTTTTTTGTGAAATCTTTCTCTGATATTCTTCATGTCTTGAATAGATCAAAGCTCGCACAATATTTCAGAGCAAAACAGTGGCAGAGATAAGGGGAGGACAAACAAGATCTCTGTCAATCCGACATATTTTTTTTTAATCACATTAGTTTTCCGAAACATAACTGCAAAACATCGTATTGACGAATGTGAGCAAAACTGTTATAATATTTGAGAACATCACTGGAGTGGATGCCGCTGGTATGTCCTATTTCTTCTTTTTCCCTATACTGTTTCACTGTCTTTCTTTTTTCCCAATACCAAATGATCATTTCTGTGTTGATGTCCTTCTCTTTACTCAAAATTTGACCGTTGGCTAGGGAATGTCTCGGGGAAGGGGAGGGGGGAAGCACTCTCCCTGGTGGTCATTCGGAGACAAAGATGTCGTCTAACGTTCAACAGTGGGGTCGTCCTCTCACAACTTCATGTAGCTGACGGCCGCCTGTGTGTCTGGGGTGAGCAGTGCACCCGGCTCGTGAACCAGGTCGACGATGTACTTCTTGGGGGGGAACTTGGGGGCTGTGGGCTGCAGGATGGAGAAAGATAAGAAAAAAATAATTATCATCATCATCATCATAATCATAATCATAATAATTATAATAATCATAATAACAATAATCATAATAAAAAATAATTATTGTAATGATAATCATGATGATGATGATTGAGATGATCATCATTATCAAAATCTTAATAATAAATAGCATTTTTATAGCTCAAATTCCCAATCAGCAGCAAACTCTATACACTTTACAATCAATATTATTACCCCAGCTGACCTGATAGCCTTCTGAAACAAATCTCAACTTCCGAGGAAGCACACAAAGCAAGCTGCCATTTTAGAGGCACTAAAATAAATAGCCTACACAACATGCTGACAAGATCTTTTGCTGTTTAAAAGATGTTGAGTCAAAAAAAAAAATGATAAAAACTGCCAAACAGGCAAAAAAACCCGCCAGTTTCTTTGATTTCCTTATTTTGATGAGCACCTGATCTCACCAGGCTGCCCCACAATTACACTGTCCGGTGAGATCCGGTGAGATGGTGCCACTTACTTCATCCTCATCATCATCAGGCAACAGCACCTCGTTCCAGGCACGGTTGTATTCTCCGCGGGTCAGGGAGCAGTTGAGGGCGATACGGTCAGCTAGAGCCTGGGGACACAATGTTGTACTATTTCAAACACACATATATGGACAGACAAGTTTATGATTATATTTAAAAATAAAAAATAAAAGTAATAATAATAATAATAATAATAGCTTTTGTATAGCTCAAATCCTCGCTCAACAGCAAGCTCTATTTGTGCACTTCAGCATCTATATTATTACCCCAGCAGACCTGAGAGAATTCTGAAACAACCTTAACTTCCTGGGAAGCATACAGTGCAAGCAGCCATTTATAGGCGCTAAAACACGAATATACGGACAAGATCTTTCGCTGTCTATGGCCGGGTACCCATTCCTACCAGGGTGAAGTTAGGAAAATTCGTGTAAAGTGCCTTTCCCAGGGACACAATGCCAGCCCGTGGCTCCAATCCCCGAATTCGCAACCTCGCGATTACGAGTTCGGTAGCCTAACCACTACATCATACAAATAAACAGATCATCTAAACAAAGTGCTGCATCTTTTCAAACACATGAACTGACATTATTTTGTTATGGTTTTATTTTTTGTTTACACTGTATGAATAAATGGTTCATTTCAACAAAATATTGTAATGACATTTCAAACACCCAAGAACTGGCATGTTTTTCTTAAGTTTTGTTTTCTCATTTACAAATAAATAAACAGATCATTTCAACAAAATATTACAACAACAAAATAATGAACTGGAGTAATTTTGTTTTATTTTATATTATATAATTTAAACAAATGGGTCATTTCAACAAGATATTGTAATGATATTTCAAACACATATGAAGTGGGTTTTTGGGTTGTTGTTCTTTTCTATCTCGTGACCTCAGTGCTTTCTTGTCTAATCTCCATTTTTAATAACAATGAAAACAGTTCATAACAAAGAGTGAGCTGAAGAAGAGGTCACATTTTCAATGTTAAAAATATTGGAGACAGGACAAGAAAGTACTGAGGTCGCGATCTGTTGGGCCGTGAAATTCGACTCAAAGTAAAGCCATAAAGCAAGAGTGGTGAATGTGCGCCATATTATAAGAAAGTCACATTACCTTGAATAGCAATGCTCTGTGAATGTGGATGCCAGCCTTCATCCTACCCATGGGTATCACGTTAGATTTGAGTTCAAACCTCACTTGGCTGAGGGGCAGCTCCCAGCTAAAGTTGGCCACTTGACCACGCTCTATGGAGCCGCCGAGTTTCTCTGACACAAATCTGAAACAGAACCGGAGGAGACAAAATTCCTTAGAGAGAAGACTTAAATCTATCATCCAAGTCTGACTCTAAACATATCTGCCATATAAAATGGTCAAACACAATTTTAAAAAAATAGAATTACATGACAGTAGCCTATAATATTATGGATAGGTCGAACACAGAAGACTTGATTGTGTGTGTGTGTGTGCATATGTATATGCATATGTGTGTGTGTGTTTGCAAGTGTGAGAGTTACATATATCTGTTACACTCACTCTGCGAGAGCCACAACTTGTGCCTTGGACGTAGGAAGAGGCAGGATCTTCTCCGAGACCTCCTCGATGTACTTGACCAGCTGGGGGTCGGGGGGCGGGGTGAAGGGAGCTTTCTCCGCAGACTGAAGCTCCGCCTCTTTCTCCCTCTGGGCGGCTAGCTCCTCCTCCCTCGCCTTCTCCTCTTTCTCTCTCTGGGCTTTACTTTTCCTGTCAGGAGGTGGCAGATTCAGTTATAAATGAGGGGCTGAGAGGCAAAACCCGCTACATCCATTTTAGCACTTTTGAGAGAATCAGCTTTTTTAATGCTGCTATACGCATGAATATACGTAAAAACAAGACTTATTTTGTGGCTTTTAAGAAGTACGTGTTGGGCTTGGGCCGAAAACACTTTGTGCATTTAATAGCCGGCAACAATGTGCATTTATAAGCAAAAAATCTCGAAGTTTCCCAAAATTATTGTTTAGCGTTAGGGAGTTTTGTATTTCATCCCCTCACATATTATAGGCTTATATTTTGAGCTGGACAAAAACATTGTTACTAACAAAAATAAAAGTCTTGTGGGAAAGAAAGCAAACCTGCCCACCAATCATCCTACATTGATTGTCCTCAATAAGATATACTCAAAGAAGAAAAGTTAAACGCTGCAAGGGTCAAAGCAAAATATAAGAGTATTTATCAGATATAAAAGAATAAAACCTTAGAGCTGTTGCTTATTACATCCTTAACAATGATGAGAAAAGTATTATCAATATATATAATTTATACAAGCACTTCTTACAAAGCACGAACTTCAACAAATATCTAAATTATTTTGTTAACACAATAAACACAACATTTTATAATAAAGATATAAAGTAACTGAGACAATACAACTTGCTGAGTATTGAGGTTTCGAGCTTGCACTGAAGACAAAAAGGGCTTGATTTTTCAACTGTTACTTTGTTGGCATATCAAAAGCCATGTATCATTATTACTTGAAAGAGCACTTGATTAAAAGATAATTAAAAATACCCAATAAAATCAAACTGACAGTTTGTAACTAGCGCTAGCAGTCACAGCAAGCCTTTGTAGAAGCATCTAATGACTTTGTGAGAGACTGCCATAGAAGGTGGATGGACAAAAGACAAAGAACAAAACGGTTAACAAAGTGGAATATTGGTGGAAGCTTGTGAAAGGGGGGAGGGGAAGCAACTCAGGGATCAGTCCGGGTGGTTATTAAAGAAAGGCAGCATACTCCGTGATATAGGATGGCAATAATAATAATAATAATAATAATAATAATAATAACAATAATAATAACAAAAAGGCCTAATAATAACAATACTAGATCTAATAATAATAATAATGATAATAATATTATTATTAATAATAATAATAATAATAATAATAATAATAATAATAATAATAATAATAATAACCATAATAATAACCATAAAAACAATAATAATGATAGTAATAATAATACTAATAATAACAATAATAATATGCCTAATAGTATTAATATCATTAATGATAATAATAATAATAACAATGACGATGATGATAATATTATTATTTTTATGACAAGAAAAAATCATTGCACTGTCAACCTCATGCATGACAATAAAAAAAACCAATAATTCCTAAAAACATTTCTCGTCAGCAAGAATCCATTTGAAAAAAGGAGCAACGTTTTTTTGCTGTAGTTGTTTAATGGTATTGTCTTTTCATGCAAAGCTGGAAGACAACAAAGTCACATCAAACCAAACACACAGCAAGAAATTGTTAATGCTCACACACTATTGCCGCCTGCAATCTTGAACGGCACATGTGAGTAAATATCTATGTCAAAATTAAGTCAGCTTTGAACAACCGATCGCATTTTATTATCATAACACAACGGCACACAGTTACGTAGATTGAAACAAAGTCAAAAGTGAATTGAATCTAGACACTGTGGCGTATTACTAACTATTCATGCAGAATGTCTTCTTGAAAGAAACTGAGTAATTTAAACCTAGAAGCAGTAGAACTTATTACAGCACTGTACACTAGGCGCAGTCTGGGATGAACTTATTGAGATGTGCAGTTTTGAGACACATAAAATATAAAAAAAAATTTTTAATCTCTTCATTCTCTTACAGAATTTTCACGTTTGTTTAGCTAACCTGAAATTTTAGATACAGTCAACAATGTGCATACCAACCCCCCCCCCCCCCCCCCCCAACCTTGCCTGCCTCATTGAAGCTTTAGATAAAGCAAATAGAATGGAAAAATCTCATAAATAACAATGATATGCCTCTTTTGATTTAAGAACTCCAAAACAACGTGTCTTCAAAGAGTAAAAGAGTCTGAAATGTGCCTACAGCGGTCGACTGTGAAACGTACAAGGAATAGCAAAAATTGATTGTTTCTGAAATGTGGGGACAGTTATGTCCCACAGTAGCTGAGAAGTCAACTTTGACCAGCAACTGGGGTGTAGCAGTTAGCTGCTTCATCGTCACATGCAGAAGACCGGAACTTGATTCCCATAATATGGGGGGAATTTTTATCGAGTAGGCCTATCACAGTTTTATTGCTGGAATGTGGTATTCATCTCAGCCCGGGTTGGCCCTGACTAAAAGAGTCTACATTTTGTTAATGAGAGAGTAAAGGAGATAGAAATCTATTATTGATTTCAGTTTATCCATTTTCTTTTTAAAAAATTTCATTGCACTTTGAAAACATAATATTTATCTTCAATGGAAACCGCAAACAATCATCTTGTGTAGGCTACTATATTTCAAATGAACCATGATCTCAAAGAAAGGAATGTCTGGAGACACAAGTTAGAAAAAAAACCCAGTGTCAATCATAGCAGTCTTTATCACACTTTTATTTAGGCCTACAGTAAAGTTAAAAGCAGTTTTCAAAAAGCTCACAAGAATGAGAAAAAAAGGATTAAGCCAGTCACTGCCATCATTGCATCGCTATAAGCAAAAATTACACTAAAAAGTAGTAGTGCGAAAATTAATCATGCTATTTATTTTTAACTTTTAGACCAAAAAGTCATCATGCTTACTGGTGCTCACGATAAACTAGACTAGAACAGGCAAACTTTGGTGACTGTGTCTTCAAGTAACAATAAAAGGCAGATGATGTGACCAGAAGTCATTCGAGGAGAAGCACACGATGCCATTGTCTACCCAAGCCCTCAAAAGTCACAAGTCATGTTGCAATGTTGCTTGTCGTAAAAACCCCAGTGACATGAGTCTATTTTTAGGCAGCATGACTGGGATTCCAATGTTGACAAACATCGCAGTGTTCTGTTTGGACTTTTGTTCAGCTCGGATACAATAGCAAAGTGCGCAGACTTTATTGGAAGGAAGTGAGATTGTGCATTGACCAATCAGCTATGTGCAATGCACATTGACCAATCAGCTTTGTGCAAGGGGAGAGTACTGAAAACATGAACTAACTCTTCCTCCAACCGTTGCCGCTCTAGCTCTTTTTCCTTATCCTTCTGACCTTTCTTGCTGCAACAAGGGAGACAAATAATAGAATAATAATATGAAGAAATGTCAATAGGACAGATACAAGACATCCTCTGTTTCTTTTCCTTGAAGTTTCCCTGTAGGAGTAAAACACTCTACTAGGCACGTGTAAGTTACGATATAGGCACACATAGTGGAACCTGTCATAATGTCCACCGGTGTTAAACAATTACCTGTATAAATAGCAGCTTCCAATTTATTCCCTTGCGTACTTTTCACATTATCATGACCCTGTGAAAGTGTCTACTTGTCTGAGCCAGCCATGTTTCTCCTCTACAATCAATGGCCATCGTAGACTTTGTGCTGTACATATATTACATTATCTAAGAACATACACTTTGACGTATTTCTAATCCTCTATGGAGTGCACCATATGAGCCAAATGAAGGGCAAGGCAGAAAATATAGCCTACCAGGCTCATCCTACTATAGTGAGACTGGTGTTTTGTGCACATGTGCACATTTCACAGTGAAGATTTCATGGAGAGCAAAGAATGGAGTCCATGACAATGCATAGTCTTGGTGTATAGATCTATGGTTATGCCATTCGCAGACCCAGCACTGGTGACTTTATTTTTGGCGAGATCAGACCCTGTTTTTGATGGATGGGCAAAAAATCAAAACAAGACAGAACACCTAGTAAGAAAAAAAGACAAAATATGTCACGTGTGTGTCGATATATGCATCGCAATTATGTAAACATAGGTCCTGGAGTCTTCATTATTACGATTATGCAGAAGCATCTGAATCAAGAAAATTAACCGCTGTGAATGTCGTTTACAAATCCAGAAAAAACTCACCCAAGATGAGGAGACTTCTATCATTAACCAAAATAGACAGAGATGCCGTAAGCTGACAAAGTGCCTTTTTTTAATTCACAGCAGTTTAGAGAAAAAAAAGGGTTTTTTTTGTCAGCATAACTTTTGAATAAAAAAGTTCTTCCAAAATTTGAATTCAAATTTATCTTAAAAAACTATTCACTGTTTCACTTTGATGCTTTCACACAAGTAGGGTAACTAATCCGGCTTTTGATTTAGCAAATAAAAGATTTAGCACCAAAATGAAAAAGAAGGTATTTTGTCAGCATACGGCAGAGTGTCCATCCCTCTGCCCCATCCAAGCCATCTTACAACACAATGCTGTGACAGATTATTACCATTTAAGTTTCAAACTGGAACCAAACACAAGCCATAGCTGTTATATACTGTAAATCTTCAGCTACAAGCTTAACAACATTGTAGAGGGCAAAAGCAAAAATATATTTGGTGTTGACTGCATATATTCATAAAATGTTGCTGTAAAATCTAGCCACAGAAACAGAGCAAACATAAAGCAATAGAAAGCAAGCGTTTGATTTTTTTTCCATGTACCGAGTAAGAAAAAAAAATTAAGGAATATATTATTGCTCGGGGGAATGACAACGACCAAGAACAAAAACTAACATGGGACATTAGGCTGTAAACTAGTGGGAACCATCTGGGAGGGAGGTGGGGGGGGGGGAGACGGGAGTAGAAAAACCAGTATGCATCCAATGATAAATTTCTGTTTGTCTACACGTATAGATTCTAAGAGGTTGGGGATTTTAAAAAATCATGGCTAGCAACTGACATATTAATATATATAGATCAGCTAAAGAGCAAAAAGAGGAAAAAAAAAAAAACAGAGAGAAAAACTGCACTGCGGCGGTACCCTTTCTTAGCATTGGCCTCTGGTGACTCTCTCGAGCCAGTCCGGGACATGCGGCCACTTTTGCTGCAACAGTTAAGGGCGGGAATTGGCTCTATGTGAAATTGTGCTTGTTTAGTACATTCCCCCATCTGTTGGCTCACAGCACTTAGTCCACTAACAAGTTATGTGCAGCATCAAATCAAGTGAACGTTCTCATAAAATTTATGGGATTTTCTTTGCAACTACAAGCTACAGAACATCTCTGGAACAGATACAGTCTTTTGAACAAACACAGCTGACAAGCTCAGATAACCGTCACAGACGGTGATTTATGCCACAATTTACCGGCAAGGGCCTAAAGGTTATGGTTCACCTTTGAACAAAGACCGACGTCTATTTTAACTGCTTTTCTTACTATTAACAAAAGTATCCTTAGCACAATTAAACACAACATGGTATTCTAATTATACAAATTAATGCAAAACTCTGCCACACGCCATTTTAAAACGTGACGTATCACTGAATCCTGTACTGAGCAGTCGAAATCCTTCAGTGGAAAAAAATTAAATGTTGATTTTTAACAATAAGATGGATAAGATCAGATAAAATAATAGGACCAGACAAGACAAAAAAAAGCCAAGACCGGACAAAGTAAGACGAGATAAGACAAAGACAAGATAGATTCAAATTAAATGCAACAAACTTTATAACCCATAAGGATAACCTCTCATACACCAGCTGGAAGCAAAACAAATACAGATGTGAAGCAACAATTTTACACTTATGCAAAAATTAATGGCTGCAAATCACACATTTAGTATAAGTGTGAGATAGAAGTAAATATCCAAAGGCTCGTTTGCAATATTTTGTATAAATCAAAAAAAAAAAGAAGACAAAAAAAAAATCCCCCCAAAAATCATCAAAATAATATAAGGTGCACGAAAGAAATATACAAGAATACAAATATTATTAGTGCTCTGAAGCAAGCTCATAAATTCCAAAGACAATGCAAATTTTTTTAAAAACCTAATGGTATTTACTCCAAATGCTTTCAGAGATATATAAGAAACAATCTTACCCTTTGGATTCCTTCGTGGATTTGTTGGCTTTTGAGGTCGTCTCTTTGGTCTTGGAGGTGTCTGCCTTCACGTCTGCTTCCTCAGCCTTCCCAGAATCCCCTCCCTCGGTTCTGAGAGAAAGCAGGAACAGCACAAAAGTGAGGCATCCTGGTGAAATCGGGCGCTCATCAAAATAATCAAAGTGAAGAAACTAGCATTTTCATTTGGGTTTGTGGATTTTTATCGAAAATTTGTTTTTTGGCTCAACACCATTCACGCCCATTAAAGAACACATTTCTGTGTAGATTTTATGGCAAAATGTTGAATAAAGGCCCAAAAAAGTGTAACTTTTCAGTTTTCACAGTCTCTCAAGCTGAGAGGAAATAACTAAACTTTAGCGGCCATTTTCTCACTAATTTTACCTCTGAAACCAGGTGACCCCCACCTCCTTCATTCGCAAATATCTCAACTTGTATTCAAGACAAAGACATTTTTTTCATCCAAAGCAAGACAAATGCATAAGCTTTAAGATGATACCAATAACTCTACATGCCCCAAAATTGACGAGAGCCCAATTCCACAGCGTCATGACACAAATACCTCTCAAGAAAAGACTTCAGTCAAACCTGTTCAAACAGCCACCTGTACACGACAATCACATGTACAAATTTGCCAACTCCTACTTTCCCTCAAGCGTTCTTTTTAAAAAATATTACAATGACATTTTTGAAAATATCAATTCGTCTAAGTCAACAACTTTTTTCCCAGACAATGGGTGGCTGTCTTAGACAATTTCAGCTTTATTTATTCTGTTATGTATTCGGTGGAGCGGTTAGTGCGCTTGTCTCCAAAGCAAAGTTCGAGCTTTGGTTCGGACACAGATTTTTTTTCTCCCCCTCCTGCCCACCCAGCAGTAATGGGTACCAGAGTTCGAGTTGGGGAAGTAAAGGCGGCATGGAAAGGAACTGGCCACTCTATCACAATATGCCGAAGGCCCCGGAAGTTGTTTCACTAACAAGGCAATCCCCAATGTCCGGATCGGATGCGGAAACAACTTGACCTATGTGACATGCCTCATTATCAAAACAAAGCAAGATAAGACTTATCTTCTTCTTATAGTGCTGAATCTGAAACAGATTTCAGTGACCATGGTTCGTCATTCTTCTCTCATCTCAGGTGCTCTATAAAAGAATACTATATTATCCTGGTCTTTAAATTTTTATTCTTTGTCGCAAGAGCAAAATAAATACCAACAGCACTGAACTGATAATGTTTTATTTTCAGTGAGAGTGTATTTCTATAAATATATAAGTAAATAGAGATGGAGAAGTCCACAAGAGAGAAAGAGGAAAAGAGAGGAGAGGAGAGCGAGAAAGAGATAAAGGAGAGGATAGAAAGCAAGGGTAAAGAGAGGTGATAGAGAGAGAGAGAGAGAGAGAGAGACTGAGACAGACAGACAGACAGACAGACAGACAGACAGACAGACAGACAGACAGACAGATAGACAGACAAAGATCGAGAGAGAGAGATTGATGGAAAGGGAAGAGATAGAGAGAAACAGAGAGAGAGAGAAGCCCTTACTCTCCCCCAGCCTTGGCGTTGAGAAGTATGACCGGTCTCTTGTCATCCATCTCCTGCCGGCAGTAGTCCTCCAGTGTCTTGAAGGGCGTGCCCTGTCTGAGCTGGCCGCAGTCGAAGAACCCGTCCTCGATGATATTGCTGGGTCCTGCGGAGACACATCACACTCACGTAAGATGGATTCGAACCTCTACCATACCCACACTGTTGTACGTATGTACATCGAACTGATGAACAATGGATTCGAACCTCTACCATACCCTCACATGTGTCAATGGAGGTGTAAATTATCAACAATTTACAACACCAAAACCTTTTACAGAATTGCGGTCTTTCTCTCTCTCTTCCATTGTCTAAGAAAACCTATCTTCTTATCTCCCACACTTCTTTCCTCCCTCCCTAACACTTCCATTACCATCACTCCCACACATCCCCTCTACCTCAACTACACCTAACGTCCCTTCCCTCACTCCCCATCTCGCAAACCTTTTTTTTTTCCATCTACCCCCTCACTTCCCTTCCCCTCCGTTTCACATCTCCTCCCCCAACTTTCCTTTCACCTCCACCTCCACCACACCCCACTTACCCTCTACCATACCTTCTCCCCCCTCCTCTGACATCTCTTCCCTTCCATTACACCTTCCGCCCACCCCTCCTTCCCCACTCCCACTCCAACATCTCACCGAGGTAGTTGTACAGAGCAAACTTAGCCGACAGGTTACAGTCCAGAAGTCTCTGTAGAGCCGCCTCGATGAACGGGCTGTGGCGTGACGCTGACATCTGAATCTCCTGGAGAATTTGCAGACCTCTAGACGAGGTGTGGTTGGGGGGGGGGGGGATAGAACAAAGGCAAAATTCATTAGGATGAACGGGAAAACTCATGGCAACAGTTGGAAAAGAATGAGAACTGGTGGAAAATTGCCCAAGCTGAAATCACATCTTCACAAAATTGCTCCAGCACACAACCCAGATCTGTCCTGTCGAGCCTGCAAGGAGGAGGACGAGACTATGGACCACATATTCCTGAAATGTCCTGCCAACTATTGTGCCACAACACGTCTGCTGGGACATTTCAGTGACCCTCGTTCAGCACCTTTTAAGGATCCGTGAGCAAGTGTTGAGTTTCTACATGCTGTCGGCATCGCTGACCACTTATGACGCCACAGCGCCAGAAGAGAGAGAGAGAGGGAGGGAGAGAGAGAGAGAGAGAGAGAGAGAGAGAGAGAGAGAGAGAGAGAGAGAGAGAGAGAGAGAGAGAGAGAGAGAGAGAGAGAGAGAGAGAGAGAGAGAGTTGGAAAAACAGTGAAGGCGTTTAAACTAAATAGGCCTACATTTAATACAACATGAACATCAGCAATAAACTGAAAGAAAAATAACATCAATAAATTCTTTTTTCTATTATTTGAGCAGCCTGTCTTAATAGAGTGCCAGGCTTATTGGAAAAAATCTGGCTGTCCTGCAAATTTCCCTTTAAACAGACTTCACTGTAATTGACAAAATGAATTGTGTTCTAAAAGTCACAGAGTGCTTAGGAAGATAAAAAAGTAAATTATGATATAGTACTTCATTAACAACTGTGACTGTTTAATTTTGTATTTGAATTTAATTTTTTAACTCAACCTACCAAACTGCATGCCTGAGCTTACATTACCCTTACCCTTCTGTGCACCAAAAACACAATCATTAACATGTACCTTCGCCCTTCTGTGCATCAAACTCATTCCTCAACATGCAGTTATGTAAATCTATCAGTGAAACAAAAAGAGCTCAAGTGAACACGTCCTATAAGCTGATGGGACCAAGCTCTAAGAAGAGAAAAATATTCTCAACATTTTTTTAATTCCTCTTGTTTTAACATATTTCTAAGCATGTTCTCAATCCCGGCTACATGTATTCAAGAGAAGTTGGCCACCCTATGTCACAAATGTTTGAATTATAATGCACCATCACATTTATCAAATCTGTTAAGACCGTACATTCCAACTCGCAGTTTAAGGTCATCAACTGACAAAAAGAAATGTATTTCACCATCTATGAAACTTAAAACAATGGGTGAAAGGGCATTTGAATACCAAGGCCTCAATATCTGGAATGCTTTACCAAGTACTTTAAGAGAGATTGAATCTTTTGATTCATTCAAATGTCAGCTGAAGTCGTTTCTGTTTTTAAATTTAAAAGATGAATATTTGGAGTAATATTCTTTAGTCAGAACACAACGTTTTATGTTACTGTTGTACGTTGTATGTACTGTATTGTAAAGCGCTCAGAGCCTGAGTACTTTAATCGATGTTGAGCGCTATACAAATGTCATTTATTATTATTATTAAGTGGAAAGTTCCAACACCAAGACAGCTGCCAACGAAAAGAAAATCAAGTTCATTTTGCTGCAAACACACTTTTAGCCCGTACCCCAGTTTGCAGATTTCTGTGGCTGTGGGTTCATCCACTCCGCACACGGTGATCGCCCACGCTGCGTTCCTCCTGACCTCATCATTCCCAGAGTGCAACAACAAGACTAACGGCTCCAGTCCTCCAGATTCTCGGAACTGCGAAGAAGAAGAAATAATAATTACACCAAAAAATACAAGAGGTTCAACCGTAACTAACCCTTTGTCTATGATGAGCCGCTCCCAGTGACTCGCGGTCAGAACCCCTGTGCTGGTGAGCTGCTCGGGCGCATTCCTTTATGTCGACTCTTAGACATCAAATTCTTTTGGGCAATTACCGGAAACAGGATTTTTTTATCGGGAGTTCATTCATTAGATGAAGAACTATCAAAATAGGCTCAATTGTTTTGATTTAATGACCATTTAGTAACGTTTTTGTCATTTTTAGATTTACTACTAAAGAAGGGGCCCGGTATAGTGGATATACCCCAACGTAGATAAAGAGTTAAAGAAGAGAAGAATAAACTACTTGATAAGTTGTCTCCAAAAACAATTTCCTGTGTGCACTAAAACTATGTTATATTACAAGATCTTCACCTCTTCGCATCAAGCAGCAGTGGTGTCGCTGCACAGTCCTGGGGTAAGTTACTTCAACTTCACCTATACCCTAGTTCTCGTTTACGAGCTAATAGTTGTAAAACTCAAAGAGTGGAAAGACATTTTTATTGAGTGTCTCAGTCTATGTGGTTGACCCTGAGAGGGAAGCTCAGAAGCCCGCTTCCTAAATAATCGAAATTGTGTTGATGGGGTGAATAAAAAAGCCATCTGAAATAAAGAATTTAAACATCATCTTCAGCCTTTCTCATCTTCATCTGTTTATAAAAATAAAAAGATGATCTCTCTCTCTCTCTCTCTCTCTCTCTCTCTCTCTCTCTCTCTCTCTCTCTCTCTCTCTTTTAGTGGTCTACATTCGAAAGATGATAATTTCACATAAATTACGAGGAAAATTCTATGATAAAAGTTTTTACATTAATTTATGCACTGCACTTTGCTGATCTTACCACTCGAAGGCCCAGGAAGTTGTCTCACTAACAAGGCAATCCCTAATGTCCGGATCAGAAGCGGGAACAACTTTACTTTTTATGTTTTTACGTACTGTACATTGCTACTTGATGCATTTACCTCTTGTCTGGAGTCTGCATCACAGGTGAAGGCCGACACAGCCAGTGCCACTTTGCTCTGAACGTTTGTGTTGCTATGGGTGACGAAATAAAACAACATTAGGAGAATGTTTCACAATACACGTGACACTATATTGGAGTTGGCTATAAGTATATCAAAGAGAGAAATACAAAAAAGAAAAACATTCATAACAGAATCCTCATATTGTAATTTATGTGAAATTATCATCTTTAATATGTAGACCACAAGGAGAGAGTAAGAGAAAGAAAGCTAGGGAGAGAGAGGGGGGAAGGGAGAAAAGAGAGGGAGAATAAGAGAGGGACAGAGGGAGGGTGGTATAGAGGGGGATGCAGGAGGAACAGAGGGAGAGAAATAGATAAGAGAGGAAGAATAAGTAGAAGTGATTTGGGGGAGGGGGGGATAAAAGGTCCAGAAAAAAAGATTTAAATGAACAGAGGAAAAAAGACACAGCCGAGTAGAAAGAAAAGTTAAGTTTTTCCTAAAATGTCAAAATGAGAACTGCAGTTGTCCTATACAGAGGCAGTTAGGGCATAATTTTTACAACACTAAAAGTAATACAAAAACAATAATGATAAAATAAAGTACGCAAGTCCGGAACTCACTTCGACCTCAGTGGGTCAATGAGGGATGGGACGACCCCTTTGACCTGTGCGTCTGACCTCAGACCCTCGTCCTGTGCCAGGTTGGTCAGCGCACACGCTGCGTTGGCCACCACTTCCTCCCTCACCTCTCCCAGGCATGCGATGAGGGCCTCGATACCTCCCAGGTTGCTGATCTCACTGAGGGATGGAGAGAAAGTGAAAGTGGGAAAAGTATTAGTAAAACGTTAGTTTGTTTTAGTAGAGGTTTTACGGCGCTCGCAACTGCATAAGGTTATATGAGCGCCAGAAGA